TCAACAGAGGCCTTAAAAGGATAAATTAAAAGGTATTAACCTTTTTACGTATTTATATTAATTAATAGTAGGACGATTAGGATTATTGGCTCCTTACTATACAAATAGCGATTAATAACCGTATTAACTCCTTTATTAGTATCTCTCCCTTTTTTACAACCTACAATTATTACTCTAACACTATTATTTCAATACTTCGTCCAATAGTACCCCTAAAATTAAATTCCTTTAAATAACGAAAAGCCGAATTTATCTAAAAACTTTAATAAATTATAGATCTATACTGAGTATTTATAAAGGCGGCTATATAAGAGATAGAGTAATAAGTAGAAAAAAAAGGCGCCTAACGGAGAAATTCCAATTTAGAAATAAAATTTAAATAAATTTAGGAAATTTCCTAATAATACAATTAAAGAAGAAACTCGATTAATTATATATAAAATATACTATTACCAACGTCCCCTTCCTATATATTATTATATTGAACGTACCTAAGAAAGGACTTACGAATTTCTATATTAATTAAATAAAAAGGATAGAAGAATCCCCTCTCTTTATTTAGGAATATATTAATCCCTAATTACCGGCAATTATAATTAATAGTAAGGAAGAATACAAAATAAATAAAATCCTATATATAAAGAATATAACCGTAGGTCGGAGTTTCGTTAGAGAAGTCTTAATTAAATAGGTAGGGTATATTAAATTTATATAAGAACCGTTAGAAGAATTCCAAAAGATAGAAGTATTAAACCTCTTTGAGGCTAAATTCGGCCCTATTAAATTTAATAACGGACTCTAATATTAATATTATATATAGGAAATAGTTAAATAGAAGGAGGTATATACCCAAGGGTAGGATCTTTATTTTAAAAAGTAAATCGAAGCCGTAATTACTATTAACTAACGCCCTCCCCCTTTCTACTAACAGTACCGGGCCTACAAGCGAAAATAACAATATAAATTAATATTTGAATATTAATATTATTCTCTATTATTATATTTTCCTCTTCCTTACTACTACTACCCTCCTCCTCCTCCTCTTCCTCCTCCTCCTCCGTTATACTACCCTCCTCTTCTTCCGTACTAAAGGTAATAGTAATAAAGCTAATTAAATAGTCTAAATAAAGTTTTAATAGAGTTTAGGCAATTCTTTAAAATTTTGAAGGCTGCAGTACCAACGCCTACAACACGGCTAATAAGAATAGTATTGAGGGTCTCCCTAAATATAATTAAAATCTATTTAGTATATTAATTAAAAAAAAAGGAGAAACGGGTAATATATATTGGGAAGTATTAGTATAGCCCTTATTCTTGAAGGTAGCGTAACCTTAGGCGAATTGCCGGGTAGTAGTACGCACTACCTAAGAATAGCGAACAACCGGCGAATATTTAATATACCCAATACTATTCTTCCGAGTAGCGTAGGTACCCTTATACTTGTTATCGGATAGCGAATCCTAAATATATATAACTGATAATAGGTAATTAGGGGCCGGGGCGTAGGCGTGGCGAATGCGGGTATACTCTTGGTAGGCGTGGCCCGCCGAGGAGTGCGCGTACTGTAGGCTATTAAGAATGCAATAATAGTAGACCGGCTCGTTGGTAGGGGCAGACTCGTAGTCGCCTTGAATAAAAAAATCGTTTAAATTAGTAAAAAGGAAATAAAAGAAGGAAAAAAATATTGATTTACAAATTTAATAGCCTTTAGTAGGGCCTCGGCCTCCGTAGCAAAGTTAGTACAAACGGCGCGGCGGGCCTCCTCCTTCGCCTTAAGGGTACGAAGAATAGTAATTATAGCTACAATTACTTTTTAAGTTTAAGTAGCTGCAATTTAACCCTTGCGGGCAATACCTTCTGATTTATAAATATAAACGAAGGAGGGTGTATTATTTTTAAAGCTAGGCGGGCGGCCGTAGTAGGCGCTAGAGCCGGGCGTATAGGGATTAGTAGGGGATAATATAATAATCTTTTCGATTTCTAATTGAGTAACCCTCCGCGCACCCACCCCATTCCCTATATACACCCAAAAACCCCCAAGGCAGCTAGCATGTAAATAACCGTATTTTGGGTATAAGTTTCGTCGTTTTGCATATTAGGGACCTTAGTTAGATTTCTGGGTTACCTAATTACGTAATTCTGGTGATATCTGTATAGTGTTTAGTGTAAAACGATACTGTTGAAATTAACAGTTCTATTCAATTAATATTGGTTATAGATAATTAGACTCGATTGTACTCTACTATTAAATATTAATATGTAATAGCTTAAATAGCTTAAAGAGTTCGTTAGACGAGGAAGTTAATAATATTTTAATAATTCTCTACTCCTTTACTCTTTGCTCCCGTGCTCTCGCCACCCAATACCTTCCTAACTTATTATTACTATTATTATTATTAGTAATTTCAATACAATTACGTACTTTATTTTAGGTATTAAACTACTCGATATTAGGCCCCGCCTTATATTGGGAATAATTACACCGCACTAATACTTATATAAATTAAATATTCTTTAATCTACTACGGGGTACTACCGCCTTCTTACTAACTTTCTTACTTCGGGCTACTCTAATTGATAAGGCACTTAGTAGAATAGCTTTATTTCTAAACGGACTACCCTATTTAGGAGGGCGACCTTTGGGTATACCCTTGGCGGTTTAGTGAAAATGTAGATATCTATCTACTATATCCTAATATAGTAGTTAATATAAGGTTAACCCGGGTAGAAGATAATAGTAGTCTTATCCATTATTAAGTTAAATACCAGAATAGATGGTAATTATCCTTTATAATTAAGACCGTCTTGCTAGCTTCCCTCTTTACCTCTATTTTATAGGTACAAGGGAGACTATATTAGATTTTAAATTATTTAGTATATAATTTAAGAAATATATTCGGATAATTCGTAATAAGGAGGGTAATTTTTAATTAATTATATTAACGTATAAGTAATTTATATACTTACAATATAATATTAAGAAGAGTATTACCTACCTATAGGCGCCCAATTTAGTCTATATATATATAAAATAATAACTTAGCAACAACCTCTTTAAAGTAGGTATAACGACGGATAACGTACTAGTTATTAACTCGATAAAAATTAATTAGACTACTACAAATAAATAAATTATACGATTTTAAAAAATTATTATTAGATTTATTTAATAATATAGTCCGCTACCTATAATTAAAATAGTACTTAATATAGTAACTAGCCTACTTAGTCTTATAAGGGAGTAAATTATTCGTAATTTAATTAATAATAGTTTCCTAGGTATCCCTAAATTAATAATATAGAAGTAATAAAGCGCTTTTAAACTCCGTTATCGATAGGGTATAAATTATATATTACTATACATAAAAAAACCCTACTCTTATATTAGCGACTTTATTAGAAAGCGGACTAAACCTAGCCTACATTCTAGTAATTATTTTGACCTTTTAATATATATAGTATAATCAATTAAGGTTATTTTGATTACTCTAGTCAATTGGCTCTCGATATAACTGTTATATATATAAGGTTGGGTTATTAGAATTATTACTACTATCCTCCCCCTCTTCAAACTTCTTGTTACCCTCCCTATTATCTTTATTTTACTTATTATTAGGTTCCATACACTCCTAGTCATCCTTAAAGTATTCAATTACGTTGCAATTAATATACTATATATAGTATTAATATTGAACGGTTAATAGATTCGGTTAATAGCCCTAATAAATTAATTATCACCGTTAATAATAATAATTAATAGTTTAGGGATTGATAATTCCTCTATCGTCTTCCTAATATTATTAATAAACTAGTTAAATCCTTCGTCCTTCTTGTTATTAATAATTATTTAAAAGATTGGTATAGACGATTTTTTAAGGGTGATTGCAATATCTTATACGATTGGCATATAATAACGGTTCATTTTATATATAGTATTAAGGAGTAAGGTATATAGATATTACTTCTATATTTTCTCTTACTTCTTTAAATATTAGAAATTGTATTGTAGTATGCTTGGTTCCTCCTTTTATTAACCTTCGTTATTCTTATAGTAATTAAAAAGGTAGTATTAAAATACTATAAGCCTATTACTTTCGAAATTGTATACAAATATTTATATATTAGTATAACCCCCGTTATTTTATTGACGTATCTTTTATCATATATTCTCAAAGTCCTTATATATAAGTAATAGCTTAGGGTAACGTTCTTTAACTATTGCGTATATAATACGTATAGTTAATTCCTATTAACGAAGGAAATTCGTAATATCCTAATAATTATTAATATTTAAAAACTATTATTTAAAGATTAAATAGTTTAATAAATCTCGTAATAGAGGGTAGCCTTTGTGTGTACGATCGAGTGCCCTAATAGTATATTTGTAGTTGTTCTTTTTCAAGTATTGTACTATAATGCGGAAGGGATATTTGTTGGCAATCTTTCGAATAGTCGTACGTTGTTTCTTATAAGGATTAGCATTTGGATAGGGTATAGGTTCGGTATAATTATATTAAAAGACTTTGTAATAGAGTTTACTAATATATAATCCCTTCTTAAAGTAGTTAGTACGAAGTATAGATACTCTAAATTTATACTAATAATATATTTTAATAACCTTATCTATTATAGAATCTAGGTCGGTTAGTAATAGAATAAAGGCGCTATCGTTGGGAGGGATAGTCTATTTAGCGTTACTATCGAAAGAGGTATAATTATTTATAAAGGTAAATAACGAAAAAGTCGAATTACAACGACGGCGAGGTTATATTGAAGAGGAGGCATTCTGGGAAATTAGAGACGATATCTATCGATTATTAGCAATTGTACGCGATTAATTATATTTATAGATAATTAAGGGTAATTGATTTAATTATGTACGTTAAGAGTGTTGTATTATTGTATACTAGTAATGCGTCGCGATATGCGATAGCTGGCAATGTAAAGTGGGTGTAACTGGCCGTGTGAAAAAAGGAGGAAAAAATCACTAAGGTATAACAATGTTACGTACATTGAAAAGACGAAATTTTGCGGGTAAAAACGGGATTTACGATGTCAGGTGTCATCGGCTGTCTGGGCCCACTATTTTGGGTTTTTGGGTGTATGTAGGGAATGGGGTGGGTGCGCGGAGGGTTACTCTTCTAATTATAAGGAGGTTAGTAGGGAGTTAAATTAAGGAAAGTATAATTAGAAATTCGGGATTAATTGAAAAAGGACGCGGGGCTTACGAAAAGGGACGTATAGTAATAATAATAGAATAGTAAAGGAAAGAATAGTAGGGGTGGGTTATTATTATAATTGTTATTATAATGATTAATAGAGAAGAAGAAGGAAAGAGGAGGGAATTGCAATTACCGAATTAACTATATTAAAGTAGGGCAGCCGGCGGACCGAAAGGTGGGGCCTTAAATTAGTAGGGGGTAATGTTATAGGATTACTGCTTAGGAGCTATAGTTTAGGAGCCTCCAAATATATATGACTATTGCGATCCCTAACTACCGCGTGCGCCCACTAGTATAAGAGTGCAATCCGCCCTCCTATCTATATATATAGAACTCTTTCTCTCTTTGTCGAACCTTTTCAATATACAATTTGCCTTACACTTGTGCCCACTGTGCAAGAACCATAATACTAATAAAGGAAGAATTCTAAGAATATTTGGACAATGTAATTAAAGCCGAGAGGATTCTTTTTTGGGCATTAAAATTAGAGAGGCTGAAGGAATACCGTCTAATAATTAAATTAAAAGAGGTGTAGCGCAAGGAATTTATAAAATATTCCTAAAAAAGGAATAAAATATTAGTAATGTTACAATAATAAAATATAGGGATAGAGAGGGATAATTATACTAGTTACGGGTACTATTTAAATTATAATTATAATGAAAACCGAAGTGCTACTTAACGAAACGTTTAATTATATTACAGGAATTATTCGAATAATACTAATATATAAGTTTAATTCGTAGTAACCTTATAGTACTATTAAACCTAATCCTTATTTAGAGCGTAATAGTTAGGAGTATCGCCGGCTATTAGGCTACTAGGAGTAAAATTATTATTACTAATATTAAAGACTATACGAATAAGAATAGTAATAATACTACTACCGGATATAATATATATAAAAATGATAGTACTGCTATTAAAATTAAGGATAATCCGGACTAAGTTTATAATACTACTGCCGGGGAGGGAGTGGGTATAACTGTAATAAATATTCTTTATAATTAATTTATAGTAACCCTTCTATAGAAAATTGGCAATATTGAAATATAGGGGGCGGAGAAAAGTACGAATATTAATAGGGAGGTCGTTATACTTTAAATATATATATATATATAATTAGTAAAGTTATTAGTAATACGAACGAAGGATTTAAGTCTCTAATCAAAATTAGGTTAACTACCAGATAATATAATAATAATTACCGTTTAAATAGTGTTATAAACGTTGTAAAGACAAGTAGGGACGTTTAATATATATTTTTTAGTAGTATAAATATAAATTGCGTTTTGAGAACCGGTAATTATAATATAGGAGTTAAATAATAATAAGGAAAGGAATAGAAAATAAAGAACCTACCGGACGCCGAAACGTAATAGACCTTACTAATAATAACCGTACGGAAGGCGTTGGGGAGGTAAATTTATCGCCGGTCTTTAAGTAAATAATTAAATTTAAAGTATAATATAAGGAAGGAATTTTATAGATAATACTAGTTGGGTTAGCGTATAAATTAGAAGGACGGGGGAAAAAAACTATACCGGTTTTAAAGAATTATAAAATTAAGAAAATTATAGAGGAAGCGGGCGAAGGCTACGGACTCTAAATATACTAGGGATATAGGGTTAAGGGATAATTTAAAAGAAGAGACCTTTATATCCGAGGTTAAATCGATTGGGATAGGGCGATAACGGTTAGAGGAAACTATTGTAAATAAAATTATAATAGGGAAGAAGGAGGATAGGAGTTAGGAAGGGGCGCTATAGGGAGGATTATATAAAAGAAGGAGAGGGTCCTTATATTATTATAAATAAAGGTAGAATTATAGGGTAAAAAGTAAAGGGCCGGGGCGGAGGTAATTATAAACGGGATAAGGAAGTAGGGAAGTAGTATAATAGATAGGAAGACGGGATAGGGTAGTGGGGAGAAAGTAGAAGAAGGAGTAGTAAATATTAGGATAGAAGGATAGTAAAGGGAAATAACGTTCTAAATTTAAATTTTATTCCTATTATTCTTATTATTTTAATATTAGGATAATATAATAGTAGGAGAGACGAAATTAGTTCGCTATAGCGGTAAGTAAGAATTATTATAGTTATAAGTAAAGTAGGAGCGGTATAAAATCTATAATCGAAATATAGTTAAGGGTTTTCATCCGGCGGCGCTTAACGCCGTACGGTTTTCCCCTCTAGGGAAATAGAGAAGGACCCTATGCCAAGATGGCACTATAGTTATATAGTACAGGGAACAAGATTATTATTATCATTATTCTTTATATAATTTTAGAAATTTATTTAAAGATTAATTAACCCCGGGGGTTTTATTAAATACTATTTAGGAAAGTACATCTTAAATATTCTTTTCGGTAATTAATTTATTAATAGTTATTAGGTTAACGCCTTCCAAGAATTTGATCTAATTTAGTAGATAGTCTATAAGAACATTTACCTTTAGGAAAAAGTAGTCGGTAAGAATCTTGGCCTTGCTACTATAATTTCCAATTTCTATTACCCTTTCGTAGGTTTAAAGGGTTAGTAATTTAAACAGATTTATTAGTCGGTAACTTCGGGTTTAAACCTACCTCTTGAATAATTAAAATTAATTCAAATTCTTTAAAACTTTTATAATACTTTTATATTACGTAGCCTACTATAATTTCACTATTATTCCTTTCTTCTTTATTATAACTTCAATAAAATCCTTTTATTCTAATATTATTCAATATCCAAACTATATTTAATATATCCGCTACGCTTCTTTTATCATTATTTTGTATCCTAATATTTATTGATTTACTCTTTTCCTTCGATTTTCATTCTAATATAGGATAAATTCCTCCATAATATTTATAAATTCTCTATTAAACTTGCGAAAGGTGAATTTAATATTTTCTATTATATTAATCCAATGACGCCGAAACCGGGAAACGCCGATTTCTGGTCGAGGAGTGCTCTAAAACGAAAACTAATAACGGTAATCGATTTAGGAAGGTCGTTTATATCCCTTACGATATCCTACGACGAACGTAACGATAGCGTTATATTGTTATTACTAATAGTTATCGATAGCGGTATTTATAGGTTCGAAAATGATATTTATAACCCGCTCGTAGAAATTTTAATTTGTAACGACCTTCAAGCTATACTTACTATGGAAATTTCGGAAAATAAGAGAGAAAATAATAAAATACTAAAGATATTGATCGCTAAAGCGAATAAATCTACAAACTACAATACTATTTCGACTGAAGACCGACGCTAAATCGAAAATTATTTTTTGAATTTATAAAGGTATATATTAGAAAAAGCAGGTCCCTACGAACCGAGGCTAACAAGGTTAGAATCGACCAATTTATTACTAAGAAGGATTTTAATAATTTAAAAAAGGATATTCTAAAGGAAATTAAGAAAGGCGCTTAGGAGGTATTAAAGCGCTAGGCTAATATTATAGCAAAAGCTATCCCGAATAAGATTGGTACTATTCCTTAATATTTACTTATTTTTATTACTTGAAAGTTTACCCCTTTTAACTTTAAATAGTAATTTATAATTAAAGAAATAACGATTATTATTGAATTTATAAATTATTTAAATGAAGATACGAAAGTAATTCTAATTATAAATTTAAGTAAGAAGAAATCCGGTTTAATAATTAATATAGTTATTAGAATACTAATAATTAGAAATTATATAATTATATTCGATAAATTTATATATAATTAGTATTAGTAAAATTAAATATAGGTTAAAGAAATTTTTAATCCGGATACCTTTATTACTATAAGTACCGTAGGCGTGCTAGTCCGAAATATACTCTAAATTAATATTAATAATTATATTATAGTAGAAATTTTAATAAAAGCAGCGAAGGAAGGAAATATAAAGGTAATTATTATTAGAATTCAGCTATAGAAGAGAAGGGATAGAGAAAGTAAGGGTTTATTCCTTATAGAAATTACTATTACGTTAGTAATATACTTTTTTTAAAAAGAATTTCCTTTAGGACGGCGGCGTATATCTATATAAATTATTCTAAATTTTAAATAATATTTAATAATAATATAAATATTGGGGAATTAAATATATAGTAAAGTTTTATTACTAAAAAGGTATTTACGCCTAATATAGTAAAGTTAAATATAAAGGAGATTACTTCGGCAAAATAAATTGCCCGTTTAACGAAGATTAATTATTCGTTTATTATAAATTATATAAAAAGAAGGGATATTTTATTTATAGTTATAAAGAGTGTCCTATTTTTTGTAAGGTTATTATAAAAGCGTCCGTCGTATATACTAAGAGACTACGGGCGTTCGCCCCTTATAAGAACCTTATTAGAAAAGTATTAGAATTAATAATAGAGTTTATAAATAAATGTATCCTACTGGACGCCCCCCCCCCCCAATTCCTATATTATTACTACTTTAGAAAAATAATTTATAGGAAGTATGAAGAAAGGACGGCCGAGGAAGATCGTCGGCTAAACCTTCCGATTGAAACCTTTAATCCTATAAAGCCCAATTAATATTTACTACCTATATTTATAGAATATAAGGGGGAACTAGACGTATAACGGTAATAGCTCCTATACAGCTACAACCCTCCCTAAGAAAAGTAATACCCTCATCCTCCGCTATAAAATTAGAAGGAACCTTATTTTAGGGTAATTAATAGTCTAATTGAAAATACTTTATTAGAACGTAGGGAAATTATATAAGAGAGGGAAACTTTTACTTAAATAAGAGGAGACTTATAATATTAAAATAATTTAAGAATTGGGTAGGAATTTAAATAGGAATATTTATTATTTAAGCAGCGGGAGGTATTTTGGGGTTCATTATTTAAAGGGAGGAAGGATAGTAATATATATAAATAAAAAAGTTAGATTTAAAAGACTTCAATTTCTAATTTAGGAAAAATTAGGCTATAATAATATTTAAAAGTTATAGGGACCCAACGACCGTTTATTCTATCTACTCCCTTATTTTAATATAAGGAATATTAAAATACTAATAAGGATTACCGTTTTTCGAATTCTTCGAAACCGGCCCCCTAGCGGGAAATTAAATTATAATAGAGGATTTTAACTTCTACTATTTTAAGTAGAATTTAGACAATAGGATTGATTTAGGGACTATTCGCCTCCTTACGTAGGTATAATACTGGAAATTTAATTTATTTACCCCCTATAGTAAATTAATAAAATTCGAAAATATAATATAAAAAGAAAGAAATAGAACGATAGATTATATATAACTATTACCCGAGGTTAAGGCCGAATATTAGGGAATATAGCGGTATAAATAAACTAGTTTAAATTATTACCCTTGAAAAATTTAAATCTAATTAAGAAGAAAGAATAGAAAAGTAGAAAAAAAAGAAAGATATAGTTAGAGTCTTATAAATATAATAAAAGTAAAGGAAGCGGCGGAGAAACGGATCTTAATTCTAGAAAGGATTAATATAATAAAAGATATCGGATTTACTTTTTATAGGTTCGATAGGGAATTTATAAGTATAATAGAGGAATTCGTCCTATATTAGAAGAAAAATTGAGGGAAAAAAATAAATTAATAAATATTAGAATATAAAATAACAATAAAGGAAGTACGGCGGATATATTAAATGTAATTCGGATACTAAATAGTATTAAATTAGAAGGATTTTATTAAAGTTATAATAAGGAAAAAGAAGATAATAGTAAAAGTATAGTAAATTACGTAGTATAAAAGCGTTGCGGAGGTTTTAAAAAACCTAAATTAATTTTAATTATTAGAAAAGTGGATCCAAACCTGATTTTAATAATTAATAAATCCGTTCAAATTATTAGCCCTTTAAATTCATAAACAAATAGTAAAAATCGGAGACTATAATAGTAAGGCCGAGATTTTTACCGACTGTTTTTTTCCGAAGGTAAATATTCTTACGGATTATTTATTGAATTAGATTAAGTTACTAAAGGGTACTAATTCAATAATTATTAATGAATTAATTACCGAAGAAGATATTTAGGACGTACTTTCCCGGATACTACTTAATAAAGCCCTTAAGGTTAATTAATATTTAAATAAAGTTTTAAAATTATATAAATAATTATTCTAGTAGATTATAATATATTTTATATCCGCTAACCTTTAATTCGGACATTTCTTATAGTAATTCAAGGATATGAAAGTAATTATTGTTAAAAAACCTAGAAAAAACACCGCCTAATAAAGGCTAGCGGGTATATACAAATTTATATTACTATTTGATAATATTAGAAAAATCCTCGAAATATTTATAATTAAAAGATTAATACAGGTAGTTAAAGAGTTTAATTTCTTATTAAAGGACTAAATAACTAATCGGATAGGCCGTTTAATAGAATTTATAATTTAAATAATTACTAATATAGTATATACGGTTTAAAAGTTCGGGGCCGTAACATCCCTTATACTCTTCGATTTAAAGGGAGTATTCAATGGAATTAATTATAAGTAGCTACTATATACCCTATAGGAAATAAAACTCCCAATATAGATTATTAAATAAATGATTAATTTTATTAAAATAGTTCTCAGACACCGGTGCGATGCTGGATCCTCAGCTCAAGCAATGCCCGGTGTATATTGAAGCGTGCTTTGGATCCACATTACGTAAGCAGGTCAGATGTCGAAATGCCAAGACGGGAGCACGGGAAGGCTCTTAGCAACTCGAATTCGTACCCAGGGGCACAACACCAGCCAAAACATCACCAGATCTAACCCCTTCCGCGAATCTTTCTATTATCTTACCTATAAACTAACAAACACCCTCCAAAACGCTCCAATCAAGCAATATAGTCTATTTCCAACTACCTTACTATCACTAGCCCCACCGGGGGTGCTATAGGGACGCCCGTAGTATAGCAGTTAAGGGGACGCCCGCAACTGCTACTAGTGTAAGTTCTAAAGAGCTCTCGCGTTCAACTCCCTACTATAACTATCTTTTATAAACGTTTAATTAGTAAATTACTAATCTCTCTCAGAATATCCTCATCTTCAAATCTTAGTATTGACTGCGTATGTAGCCGATCTAGGGAACAGGAGACGTAAGACCGCCGTAAGACGTACTATCTCTTAGTGCCATTAATAATTACTTTAAAAAAGAGTAACTATAAGGTATTCGACTAGGGTGCGCAGAATAAATCGAATTGAACTCCTTTCTTTTTTTTTTTTTTTTTTTTAATATATATTTAAACCGGTAGTAAAATTTAGTTACTTAAATCCCGAATTAGAATAATCTAAATTATAATTAATAACAAGGGAAATATACTACTTTAGCCGGATAAGGAGAGAAAGCTTAACAATAGTAATCTTCTTCTTATAAAGAAATTAATCTTTAATTAGCAATACCGTTTTAATACCGACCTATCTAATAGAAGTTCGTTAGCACTTAAAAGCAAGTAAATCGCACTACTCTTCTTATTCTTTCAATATATTATTAAAGCACTACTTAAACTCGAAATTATTATCTTCAAAAATAATTAATATAGTAGCACTAAAAATTAGAGGTGAGTAGTTGGTAGTTAATAAAAGTAATAAAGAATTAAATATTAAAGAAAGAGTAAAAGAGAGAGGGAGAGGAGAAGGAAAGAAAGAAATTAATAGTATTAGAAATACTAAATATAAAATAAAATGAAAGGAATAACTACAAATACTATTAATTTATAGAAGAAGATATACTAAGGAATTTCAATTATTATTATATTTATATATATACTTAAGGCTAGTACCGGAACGGAAGTGGTGATGCCGGGTGCCCGGGGTCTTGGTATTTAAACATCCGGGACTAGTAACTTCTCAGGCAACCTTCTTACCTCGTTAACTACTCTTATAACGAAAGTACAGTTAAAGGTTACCTAAAGAACGCTCAAATTAAATAGTACATCGAATATAAGCCTTTATAATATTTTAACTTTCGAATAAACTACATATATAAATCCTACTTGGAAATCTTTCTTTAAAATATCGAATACCACTATATCTAATATTGAACCCTATAACTTATATACTATAATAGCATATACAATTATTAAAGGGAATTGTATTCTTTAGTATTGGATATTCCGATACAATATAAAATTCTATATTATTTTAAATACTAGGATAATATTTTAGAATCGTTCTTAGTCTTTTTAATTAAGAAAGTAGTATAGCCTAATATACCGATCGAACTTAACTAAAATAATAAAGGGGGTTCTATAAGGATATACCTTATTATACATCTCTTAATTAGGAAAGTTGGCATCCCAAATAATATTAAAGATAGTACCCAACGTACTATTAACTAGCCTAGCCTCAATCTAAAGATTCTTAATAAATATAATTCTATTATAAATTATCAATAGTATTTCAATCTATAGATTATTAACTTCCATAATATCCACATCCTTAGTACTAACACCCTCGTAGGCAATAGGAAACATAAGGTATAACTCATTTAACACTTTTATATACTCAATATTATAAACCCTTACATTATTACGCTTAGAATAAATACGTAGAGCCTATCGAAACCGGTCTACTTCTTCAACAAGCAACTATACTTTAATCCGAGAATATAATAATTGCCAGTATTAACGGGTAGGTAAATTATTATATAGTCCTTCGAATATATCCCTAAATAAGACTTAATTATCACCCTATTATCGAATAATCTACTATAATTCTATAGTTTTATTAAATATATAGTAACAAATACAACTAATAGCCTTAATAACGGGTAATATTTATTAATTATAAAATAACGACTTTTATTTAATTAGCGGCAATTAATAGAAATCACCAAATACAAGAACGCTCCACCCACCAAATAACTAACTCTAACATTCAGGAAATACCTGGCGAAGTCTTTAATTAATAAAATTGAATATTCGAAGGCCCAGCATTAACTTTTTATTTATAATAAAATATCAATATAATCGTAATCTTCGCTACAAATTAATAAGATTAACACCCTACAATATTACAATAGCCACTTCTAAATTATTTTAATTAACATTCTTAAACGCAATAAACAGCTTAAATAAAAAATATAGGGTTTAACTATTAATATTATTAGCAACTACCCTAGTAGGAGTACTACGAATAATAGGATTACCCTTCCTATAACCTATAGCTATTTACTCCAATTTAAAAGATAGAAGCTTAATGAGATATAATTTACCAGTACCTCTACAACTATCAACTTATAGAAATAGAGGTAGGATAGCCCTAACCTATTTATTATTATTATTATAATTTAGAATAGACTAGTAATAAACTATAAACTAATTAAAGATAACCTTCTAAGTAGGGTTAAGATTATCGATAGCAAAGGCGGTAATAATATTAATATTAGCTCCTAAATAGGTATTATTAGCTTTTATATTGCACTAATAATCCCGAGCCAATAGTAATAAATCCTAATAATCTAAGTAATTATACTAGTTATATAAGACATCTTAATCCCTAAAGCTAAGCATCCCGAAATCTATATTATCTTCAATTCGTTAGTAAATAGGAAGTTCTCTAATTAATACTTACTATAATTCTTATTACCTTTCTTCTTCGGCAGGAGGTTCAAATTTATCATTAAGTTCTCTATTAGGGAGGTTACTATAATAATTATAAAGGTAATTTATATTACCGGTATAAACTTCTATACAAATAAAATATATATTAAAATATATTTTTAATTCTTAAACTCCATTTATACTATAAATATTAAATAAATCTAACTGAATACAATGGGGATAATACAATATCAATTTAATTCTGTATTAGTCTTTATATTAGGTTTGATCCTCTATATCGGATTTATATATAGGATAATAATTAAATACCCTCTTCTTAGTACAATTACTTAAACGGCGATTATTATTAAATCGGGTAAATTATTCGAAATAATTAATATTTTTAAAATTATTTAGGCGAGATAAATATTTAGAATATTAATTATAAATTTGAACTGGCTGATTTTGTTTAATAAGTACTCCAGGTTTAGGGATTCTATTAGAATAATAATAATTTATATTAATAATTTTATATATACTTTAATTAAGCTATAAGCTAAGAAGAAGATAATTAATCTTTTAAATAAACTAATCTCTTTTAGTAATTAATTAATTTATTATCTTTATAGTAAAAGAAATAATAGGGTTATTAGAAGCAACCTAGGGGGTAATTTATTAAGTAATCTCTTTAAAAGGCTTTAACTACTTTTCTACCTTTAAATAGTATTTAATAATATAATTAATAACAGCGTTATAATTAGTATATAATTAGATATTTATATTAGTACGCTATACTAGGGTAATAGTCCGGTTGTGGTTATTTATACGGTTATTATTTCTTACCCTATCGTATAGCTAATACTTTGGGTTAAAATTACGTATAAAGTGGGTTTCTAAATAGTGATTCCTAGGAAAGTAAAACCGGTATACTTTTAAAATTAGATCTTTAGAATATAAAGCACTTTGGTTAAGCCGCTTAATACGAAGGTAATAATTATTAGTATACTAATTATATTATTATATTTAATTAATTATATAGGAAAGAAAATCGAAAGTAAATAGGTATATGCTTTCTTCTTTTAGGCTATCCCTAATAATAATAAATAGGGGATTTCCTTCGCTCTATTAATTAACTCTTTTAGGCTCAGGGTTAAAAACGGTTATATAATAACCCTATAATTTAATAAACTCCCGCCGTACATTTTTATTAATTAATTTAGGTACCTCAATATATAGTACCTAGTAAATACTATAATTATAGCCACTACCTCTTGCTTAAAATTTAACACAATACTACTAATCCTCGATTTTAAATTTTAATATTAAAATATACTCTTTAAATAATTTAAAGCAACGTTCTAAATAGTATATAGCAATATAAGGATTTTCCTTAAAGTTCTTTCTTATAATTCTATTACAATTGTCAATAAAAGTAACCTTTTATTCTTTATAGTTGGGTATATATTAAGTAAGGCTATCCTAATAGGTATCGGCTATACTAAATATTATAAATATAACTAGTATACCTAAAATTTGGATATAAATACGAAGTTTACAACTTTTATACATTTAATATAATTATATACTCTATATAGTATTAGAAAACCGGATAACCGAATTAAATAACCGACGTACTTCGGGAGCATTAAATTTAATTACTTCCCTTAATTACTTAATACTAGCCAACCCTTCGTTATTTACTCTACTATAACCCGAGTAAATAAAGAATTAATTCTTTAAATTAATTTATTTATATATTAATATATTAAAAATAATAAAAGGGAACCGGTAATATTGTACAAAGCGACTATCATACTATTTAAAGGTATATTTAACATAATCCTCAAAATTAATAGACTATACTCAGGGTTTAATAAAATTGGTTTTATTTTAAGGATAGAGGGTTAAGAATACTTATAATAGGATAAACTAAAATTTATCCCATTCCCTTATAAGAGTGTTACGTAACGGACCGGGTTTAAGGAATAGTTGAACTAGAGGGTGTTAGCTGGAAATAGGTTGAATTAGTACATTACTAATTTAAGTACTAATTTAAGTAGGCTATCCTCTACCTAATTATTAATAAAATTATTCTATATTTATCTAATTAGCTATAAGGTTAGGGAGGGCGGCGATTTCTAGTTCGAAAATATTATCCTCCTCCTTATTATCCTTTAATTATTTATTGAAATTAAGATTATCATCTTTAAGGAAATTATCGGAGTTAATTTTATAGACTACCAAATTATTATATACATTACTATTAGGAAATTATTCTAATTCCTTAAACCGGGCCTTAATAATCTCAATATTCCAATATCTAAAGTAATTAACTTTTAAATAATTAAGTTAAATATAAAACTTATTAGGGTTGATTATTATAGCCTATCTAACTCTTCTAACAATATAGGGTTTATCCCTAACTTTATAAAGTCGAAGGATAATAATATCGAGATCGTAGGGTAGTAAGGGTAATTAGTAATAAACGTAACTAATATTACAAAGGAAATTGATAATATAATTAGAGTATTTATATTAAAAACCCTTAATAACCTAGATATCGACGAATATATATACCCGAGCAATAAATTATTCCTCGATTTAATTAAGTATTAGTAGATCGGGAATATTACTAAAATTTAAATTATTATTAGTATTAAAATATTTAAGGTTATTAGGGATTCTTCGGTTATTACAATTATAATATTAATAACAATATCCGGCAATAATATATATATTAAACCATCTCTCTTTATATTGTAGATACTATTCTATATTGTTTTCTTTCTCGGCTACTTGAAACACCTTAATCATATTGAAATCGATATTAGATATAGCCCTTACTAGAAGATCGTCGAATCTATAGTATAGGGGATCCCTTTTAAATTTAATACCGGGAAGTCCGGGGAATTAGTAAGGCTAAGGGGGGGATAGTAGTATAGATTATTCAAATCTATCTACTACTATATCGGGAAGTCTAGGACTATAATAAAATAGTAGCAAAGCGGGAGACTATCGTCGAACGTTACATTAAAGTATACGTGCCAGTATACTAAAGGGATTTATAGATTGTATGCGTTCGGGGGAATCGTTATTACATTAATACTAATCGCAATATTCCCTCTCTTCCCCATTATCGAAATTAAAGAACAACCCCCGCATAAATACCCTTCAATAACGTATATAGAACTTATTCTCAAAATCGGTATTACTATATAGGGTACCCAGCCAATAATATTTATAAATGCCAAACTCGATATACTTATCTACTATAACCCGAATAGTATTATATAGTAAGTAAAAAAAATAGTTATCGTTAGGGTCTAAATCTAGATCTAAATTTGGGTCGGAGTTTTAATTAAAATTGAAATTATTATCTTCCATATTATTATTTATATTATTATCTAGATTATTATCCTTATTATTATCCCTATTGTAAATACCAATATTATATTATCTCTAACTATTAAGAGAAGGAGTAATTGAGATTGGTTAACCGTTACAACGACGACGACAATAATCACGCCGAATTTAATTAATTTAGCGGCGGGCTACGACGGTATTAGGAAAATCCTATATAAAAAGTATAATTAATTATATCTATATTTATAATTATAAATAGATATACTTGCGAATTCTTTCCTATAGGAAAGAAAGGTATAATTGAACGCATAATGCGATTTCGATCTTGAAGCTATCTATCAACATTAATAATTCTTCGAAATTATTATATTAATTGAGGTAGTACTAGTATTAGGACCGGTATTAGGACCGGTATTAGGATTGGTACCGAGGTAAGTACCGGGGCTGGGGCTAAGGGTCTTTAATATAGTATTAGTATAAAGGGTACTATTAGTAATAATACTATTAATAGTACTATAAGTAGAAATAATTGAAGTTCTCGCTCTAGTAGCTTATTAAATTCTTCCTTATAATATTTATATTAAGGTCGAAGTAGTAACGGTCTTAATTAGGGAGGAGCTAGTAATTATTGTACTAATTATTATACTAGT